ACCAGTCGACAAAGTTTTTGTGACTGTGCTTCTATTATATTCTGTGAGTGATGGAAAAGAAGAACAAGCAGAGAATCTGTCCATGTTTTGGATACCTGTAAGAGGATTTTTACCACTGTAACTGAAAGATGCAAACAGCAAATTCAGAGTTTAAGCCCCTGACTAAATATTCTGACATCCTGTTCAGTTCACATCTCTAACATTTCAACTCAGAGCTGCTGTATTAATTTAGTTTTGCCTAAAGAAAATTCTCCAGCAGGCAATTTAGTTCTGATGCACAAACATCAAGAGTAAGAACTGTTCACTTACATTCAGATGTTGCTGGTGTACATGTTTACAGCTAAACTAGTGACCCTCAAGTCCTTTTATAACAAGTAGAGAGAAATAGGCAGGTTTAGGTCATGATTAGGTCAGGAGAATCATATTCAAGGATTACCCATTTCTTTTCATTATTAAGGAGGACCAAGGACATTCAATGAAGTTATCTACCCTGTAGATTATAGACAAGTTAGTCAGATGTTTGGTCTGATCTCTGCTACCAGAATATGAACACATTACTTCTGTTTCTAAGATTTTGTGATGTTAAAATTATTTCTTATTTCTCATTTGAATTTATTTAGCGATGGCTGGTGTAGTTGACAAGTCTTGCCATCTTCAAGATTGAAGAGACTATTTTTAATAGAATTCAGTAGAATTCAGTACTAAGCCATACTTGACATAAAAATCAAAGAATTAAAATGGAAAATTAGAGGTAGGAGTGGAAACAGGTTGATTCTATTTTACCAGTAGTGGAAAACTCTATTCTTCCCCTTACTCTTGTATAAGTTAGAAAATTTTTATTTCTTCCACTATAATTGAGATCTGTAAAGCTGTTGCTACTTATATTTGCTTGTTCTGTGTACTTACAGAGTCTTCCATATATATTTATTTTATTATTGTATTATATTAATTACTTCCTGATCACTGACGTATTTTTTTATCTAAAGATGAAGCTTGTATGCAGGTAGGGTCAAGTTTTATCAAGTTTACATATCTAAAAATACAATGTGGAGACTAAAATTCATTAAGCCATTTTGCTTATTAAGCAGGGACATGCACTGTGTTTAAAAGAACTGTGTGACTTTGAGAAGTTGTACTGTATCAGCTTTCTCACTATCCTCTATTAACATAGTGCCACATTTGTCTCTATTTGTTGTAGTAACACGTAATATCTCAAAAAGTTACATTCTACTCAAAGGCCTTAATTTAAGTGTGCATTTTAATTGCACACTCCATCAGTGAAAAATTTTTGAGGACATGCCACCAATGTATGTGTAAGTATTTATTTATATATTACTTATATGTACTACTGCAATTCTAATATATTTTTTTCTGCAGCCCAGTGAATTGTCTTGAGAACCCCTTAGGGTGCACTCCACTTTGGAGACCACCACCCCAGTGAAGAACAGTCCCTTGTAGTCATGGACAGTGTTAGATAGTGGACCCAGGATAGGATAAAGTAACTATTTCTTCTGTTAACCTGTCCTGTGAAATAAATTAAATACAAAATTACTTATTGCCAGCAACCATCTTAAAATATGAAGATCTGTAAATATTGCTAGAAAACAGTGCAAAAATACTGTGGTAGAGCCTGAAATGGAGTTGTAGCTGGCATCGATAGTATTCCTGTTATTAGCTTACTGTAGTTCAGCATATGCCCTCTTTGGCTCTGATTCATGGAATCTACCAGTGCACAGTCATGCTCAGTGCTGCATGGAACTTTAATTTCTGCTAATTAAGAGTTTAGTAGAATGAGGGAAGTGGAAAAATTATTCCAGACTAACAGCTTTACCCATAGTATTTTATCTGCGTATTTCATCACAAACCTAGATTTTAGGCTCTTAATACACAGAGTAAATCTGTTTTCTCCCACTTAGGACCTTCATCCAAGGACAGGACTAATCCCTGTGCTCTCAGTGACTCTTTACTGATGTTGTAGAATCACAACAGATTGCAGATGTTGTACAGCTTTAGGGCAGAAAATGACTGTTAAGGATCAGCAGGCTAATAGCTTGCACTCCGTAGGGAGAAAGATGTGCTCTGCATCTTGGCAATTCTGGATGGCTTTGTTGGCCAGGTATGCATTTGTCTCTGATTCAATCTGTATTTGCTGTATCTCTTTTGCTGATTTCTGAGAGGACTTCATGGCTCTGGTGATGAGGGCCTAGGCTTCTTTGGGCACAACACTTCAGATGTAGACACCAAGTTGAAATAACATTTTTTTCTCAGTAGTTTTCACTGACCATTAGTGCAGAGACTTCTGGATGCAGGGTGCTGGACTCCCTTGAAAGATTTAAGTCTTTATGGGACATCTCTCCTTTGAAGGAAACTATCCCTCCCAAAGGACTGATGAGATTGTCTTTCCTTTCAAGACTGACCAGATATCCCTTCTCTTTCTTTCTCCTCTCCCCCTCCCCTTCACCTAGATGAAAGTAACTTCACAGAATATTATTTTTTAATGTAGAAAATAAATTGTGGACAATTAATCTTGAAGTTGAGTAAGTTTTTTTGAAAACTGCTTTATAAAAGACTTTTTAAGAACTTAAGCTGCCCAATGTACCGCTACATTATGAGTATTGAATTTCACTGAGGTTTCTGAAGGCACAGGACCTGAAGAATAAAAATTAAGGTTGTCTGCATAGAACCCCTCTGTGAAGGTGTAGTGGGTTGGCTTTTGGAATTTTTTAGGCCTTCCTTAGCAATGGGGTCAGAAATCTAAAGAAGTATTCTATATCATCCCTTTCGGTAACACAACATATAAAAAGGCGCAGATAAGAGAGCTCGCTCTCTTCTCTCTTCCGGTGGCTGAAGGTGACAGGTCTCTCAGCAGACGGTCTTTGCTTGTATAGACCAGGGCCTGCTGCTCAGACCTGCCATATCTCCAGTCTCTTCAGGAGGTGTGGGGGAGTTGGTTGGTGCTTCGCACAGTTCTGCTGTCTCGTTCAGGGAAGTATTTAATTCATTTCTTTTGTATTTATTCACTAGCTCTATAGTAACGGTGTATATGTGGAGGATATTTGTTTTAGTGTTTTGGGGTTTTTTTATCCCTGTTTCCCCTTCCCTTTTCCCTTTTTCCCCCTTGGGAGCTCCCTATCGTGTCTACAATATATTCAAATTGTATATATAATTGTAAATATATATTTTTACTATAGCTTTGGCTGTTCAGTTGTTTTTTTTTCTTTTTCCCTCTCTGGGGTGTAGCCTCTTTTCGCTGGGTTTTGGCAATTTGGCAGAGAGCCAGCTCGAAACTTACACAGAATGATAACAGAATCATCAATTTGTTGAGTTTGGAAGGGACCTCTTGAGACCATCTTGTCCAATCACCTGCTCAAGCAGAGCAGGATCACCTAGAGTAGGTTTCTCACAACCATGCCCAGTCAGGTTCTGAAAATTTCCATGGACTGAGACTTAACAAACCTCTCCAGACAACCTATGCCAGCACTGGACCACCCTCACAGCGAAAAAGAGTTTTCATGTCTTCAGGTGTAAGTTCCTGGTTTTGATTTGTGTCCATTGCCTGTCAAGGGCACCGCTGAAAAATGTTTGGCTCTTCGCCTCCATCCCCTCCAATTAGGTATTTACAGACATTGTTAAGATCTACCCAAGCCTGCACTTCTGCAGCCTTAGATGTCCTGGGTCTCTCAGCCTTTCCTTATATGAAAGAGGCCCCAGTCCCTTCATCATATTTGTGGCCCTGCACTACAGTGGTTAGATCTCCTAATAATGTATCCCTTGAAAGTATGAATTTAATTAGACTAACAATGCTTTCATAATTGTGCAGGTCTACTTCTGATTTGTAATGCCTTTGACTTTTACCTCACATTCCAAGCAGTTTTTCAACCCATGGTTTTTTCACTTTCTCCAACAGTCCTAATTTTTCCAGACCTATGACTTTAAAGCATAACTGCTTCTTGCTTTCCATCCTGACTTTCTTTTTCTGTCAGGGTGTGAGGTGTTTTTAATGACTGGCCTTCAGTACATGCTTGTTTATCTGGGCACTTAATTTTGTCCTTTCTTCTGAAGTCCAATAAAAATGGCAAAGAATAAACCATGATCAGATTCACAAACAAACGAAAAATTAATAAAGTGAAAAATTTTGAAAAAAAAATCCATGTATTAGTCATGCTTATGTGTAATCACCAGTCACAAATCCGTTGTATACCTTTAGTTCATTCAAATAAAAATTTCTTTGAAAAAATATTGCCTGAACTTAGACTGTTTTTCTTGTTGCTTATTCCTTATTCATATCCCTAGTGATGAATTTGGGTAGTCTTTAAGGTGTGTTGCTCAAATAGAATGCTTAAGGCATCAGGAAGACATTCTGCCCAACCTCAATTAGTTTTAGACTATTTTTCCTTACTTTAATGATATTATTATCATGGCTACAGGGTAAAAAAACCCTAAACCATAATGACTAAAGTAATTAATGCAATAAATGTTGCAAATGTTAAGCCTTCAGAGTTAAAAATTTTCTTTTGCAAACATTCACTTCCAAGACAGGAGTAGTTTAGAGGAAAAATGTGCACATTGCCCGATGGTATCCTCATCACAATTTCAAGACCAGAACATATGAGTATCTTCAAAATGAAGAAAACTTTTTTATTATCTAGAACTATAAACCAAAAGTACTTCACAGGGAAATCATAGAACAGAAGTTCTGCATGGTCATATCGGTAAAGATAAAAATCTGTGACAATCTTTTGAAATTTTTTGCATCTTCTAGTTGCAGTCGCTCCTATAGTGGTCTTTTCACTTCTGGTAATATGCAGATGCTAGAACATTTTCATTTTCTGCATATTTGATTTGAATATTTTATGCTCGGTGAATAAAATAGTTGATTACACTGTTCACAGGTAAACAGGAGAATGGATATTTTAAAATGTGCTTCACTAATTATATTACATTTTATTACTTTATTCTGTAATAAATTAATAAAATTATCTTTTTGTTATTAATTTCAGACACAACGCTGTTTTTTCCATCCTTCACTGGAAATTCTTATTTAGAGCTACCTTCTCTGACATCTGTATCTGAGACCAGGACTGCATCTGGGCAGGAAACAAGCAATCTGACGACTCTGTACTTGACAGTGAAAACAACCTCTCTAAATGGCACAATCCTTTACAGTGAGTACCAATGATACTTGAAGCTAAGTATCAGTTTTAGCTCCTTCAGGTCCTTATTAACTTTAGTGTACATCAGCTGGCATTTCCTTTTCAAAAGCAAAATGATTCATTAAAATGCAGTAGAAGCCTTTTGGTATTCTAATGCATGATGCATTATAAAATTCTAACCATTGTTCCTTGTGTTCCTCTGGAAAGTTCTTTAATTTGTGACTCATTGAGCAAAACATAACTTACAACTGAAAATGCTGCTTCCTGACAAGAAAGAACATAGTAAGCATATGACTCCAGTTGTAAGTGTTACAGCTCTAAAATACTAATGTTGAAGAAGTTTTGAACAACTTATTACAGAGAAACAGCTTCTCCAGAGTTGGGTTGAGTCTCAAGTATTATAATTTTGATCCTGGTTCTGAATTCTTGATTTACAGAGCTATCTAAAGTTCTGCGATTTTGCCATATTTCACAGTATTTACTGTGATTTCACACTTCAGAGGATTCTTTTGTGGTCCCCAGAGAGTTAATTCCAGACCTGGATGTATGCCTGTTAATACTACATAAAAAAGTTGCTTCTTGCCTGCATATTTCATTCCTCAATGTGGCATAAACTTACTTAGACAGAAGTATGATTGTCACTAGTCAGCAAGAAAAAACAGCCTTCTCTGCTAGTTGAGTATATTATTGTATATTTTATCTTGCAATTTCTTTCTAAATAGAAAACATGGAAAGGGAGGTGATTTCTTCCTGAACCCAAGAAGAAATAGAAAAATATGTTTACTTGATAAATTTACTCCAGATAGGCAAAATGATTAGGAGCATTCTCAGTTTGCTGCAACTTCCTAGGGTTTCTCTACATAAAGAAATCTTATTGATACAACAAAAATAATTTTGATAATTTTTGTTGGTTTTACATTAATGTGGAAGTAATATATGTGAATTCACCTGCAATATATACATATTTGTAAGCCAGGGTTAAAAGTAATATAAGCTTCATGGCATTATTTAGTTATGTCTTTTATTATTATTTGTATTACATTTAATTTAGATGTAAAACACTGTTCCCCCAGATTGAACATTTATGTTTACTGCTTTTCAAAATGGTATCTCAAGTCCTTCTGTGTTATAGCTGGGTTGTTGCTGCAGCTGCCTAAGCTACAGTGCTGCAGACTTTGCTAAGAATCATGGATAAGTGGTTATGTGGCAGTTCTTTATGTTGAAGTGTTTTGTACTTGTTAGTTATTTCAATTTCAAGAGGAGTTATTCGCCCTTGAAGAAGAATTCAAGGAAGGTCACTGGAAGTACTTTGAATATATTTGGCACTTAGTGATTTTGTTTGTCTCATCAGTGCAAAGTAATTGGCTTTCAGCCAAAGTTAAAGTAAATCTTGCTATCTACACGTAAGCCCTAAGTAAGCATCTCTGTGAAAAAAAAACAACTCCATTTTCTTTTCTAGATCATGTACTCATCCCTCATGCAACCTAACAGCGGTTCAGCTATTTTGTCATACTGCCTGTGGAAAATCATTAATATGGTATTTTTGAAGTGTTTGCAGAGATTTTATTGCAGCATTATTTGAGAACTTCACATTGTTTAAAACATTTGTCTTTCTGGAGAGATAGAATGGTATTAGTGGAGAACCATGCAGTTTTTTACTTTCCAGTTACCTGCATCTGAGACCTCCTTGGGCAGTGTCACAGCTCCCTTCTTGTCCTTTCCTGAACCCAGAGAGAAGGAAGAAAGGAGGATAAGAATGAGTGGTATGAGTTCAGTTATCACCCTAACGCTGAGCTGAGGTAGATCCAGGACCTTGGGATAATTTTTACGTGTTTTCAAGCAGTTGTTTCACTCACTTTTTCTTCATTGATTCCCAGTAGCACACCATACTTACATTCCCATTCCCTTTGTTATCCCTAAAACAGGACTTGAACTAACTTGAAAAACTCCACTCTTTTGGTGACCAATAGGTTTTCTACTAAGCTTAGACTTCTGTTAAGCTAAAAAAAAAAAAAGTAAAATTGGATCTTTTGCTGGCTGTGGAACACGGGCACAAAAAGTAATGGATGACTGCACATCTTGTAGAACTCTAATACTGTATTTAACATTAGTTGCTATTTAGCTTTACAGTTCTACTTAGACTTTATCAGGCTCTGTCCTCCAGCTTCTTTTCCTTTTTTTCACTCTTTCTTTTTTTGTTTTATGTCTCTCTGGTAATTAGATTCCTTTCCAAATAATAAAAATATTTGTCATGATTGTCCATATCAATATTTTTATTTAGTTTTACATGAATTTAAAATACAATATTATAAAAATTCATAAATAAAAATATCTCTAGTGTTTTATGAATGAACACTATGCGTCTATACAGATTATCTGGAATTTTTAAATTATTTTAATTATTTCTCTACGCAGGCCCCAAGCTCTTCTGTCAGATAAGTATATCCTTTGCAAGTTCCCTCATATGCTCCCTCTGTTCTTTCATCTCCATTTTTTGCTCCTTGCTCTGTCTTTCATTTTCCCTTCTAATGACTTCAAAAGAGGAGCTACTGTTGTCAGCTGTTCTCTTTTTAATAGTAGTACAACTCGTGCTTCTACTGCTGCTTTTTTGAAGCTGTGTTACCATCAAACATCTGAGGAATGAACTGTCAGCAGAAAATAGCTTGAGACTTGTGCACTCACTATGTACAAGAACTGCAGAATTAAAAGTGTTAATATTCCCAAAATTTTCATATTCTGTTAATATATGCATGTTAACAATAGCTTCATAATTAAGGTTACAATAAGTTTTAGATATTCATAAAGCAAAAACCCTCTTTGTCAAAATAATGTTTTTAATAGGAAGAATGTCACAGTGATCTGCTTCTTTCAGATTTATTTTACTAGAAAATAGTTACAGATTTTTATTATTTTTTTTATATTAGTCCACCTTCAGATTATATATTTTACAAACACACCTGTTATTACCAGGTGGTGATGAGGCTACATCTGTTTCTCTGGCAGATAACTAGTAAACATTTAATTACAGTGAGAAATCTCAGACAAGATGCTATTGATATACAAATTGATTTGAAACAGAAAGGATGCACAAGATTATTAAAGTCAGAGTCATAAAATAAAAAATTAGTGAATGCTCTAAAATTTCAATGCATTGTTGAAATACATTTTAGCAGTTAGTGCAAATATATATATTCAAATATATATAAGAAAAACAAAATACATATATACAGAAAAGAAGCCTACTTAACAGGCCAACCAATGGGCAGAGTATGAGAATCAGCAAATGTGCTAGGCACGTCACTTTACTAAGTCACACCATACTGTTGTTGAAAATTATTTTCCTCTATGATGCCTTTATTAGCAAGGATTTTATCAATGTTTGGTTGAAAGTAATGAATAACAAGGACTAACTGTTATTTGTAGAGGCAGCCAAAAATAGATTTCCTGTTAGAAACATGGGGAAAGAGATAAGATACTATAGAACCATAGAATCTTGAATGAGATTTACAGAAAATTACTTTATATATCAGAGGCAAAGAAGCCAATGCAAGAGGAGTGGCTTTGCATACTATTTTTAGTAGATTATAAACCATCATCTGTTTTAATATAAAGAAAAATATACTTATAATGTTTTCATTATTTCAGTATGTATTTAAGAAACATATTAATGATAACAGTCAACAGACTAAAACTATCTGGTCATTTTACAGTTACCTTATGTTTAAATTGCTGGTAGAATGTGAGAAGATTTCTGTTTAAATATGTCAGAAGAAAATGTTTTAACATATACACAACATTTGTGCCAATAAAGATTAGCCATCATTTGAGACTATTTATTTGTTGAACACAGTATGCATTCATACACTCTTTATTCTGTTCCTTAATGATTTTACTTGTTTGGATGATTTAATTTCATCAACATGTCAAAACAAATTGTGATATTTAACCACAAAGCACCATAAATTCTAAGTGATCATAAAAACCTGATGAAGCGGTAAAGTTTTACTTCATCATTTTCGCTTTTAATAGAGTCGGCACAATGCTGCTCACAATCCCTTCAAGGACAGATTGTTTAACTTCTACTATATATGGTAGTCTATAACTTCTGACAATTGGATTTCAGATATCACAGCCCAGGTTTATAGCATTCCTTAAGGACAACATTTTCATAAGTTGTGCTCCTAAACTATTTCCTGTGTGCTCAGAAGTGCTACTCTCCAGATCTACCCATATTCTACTTTCCTTTCTGAAATTAAAGATGGGCACTACAGCCATTTCAGTTGTAGTCTATTGCCTCTTATTTCAGCTGGCATTCTCAAGCAGAACGTTTCACAATATCCCTCCTCCATGCCAAAATATGTTTTTACTTAATAAAGCATCACCCCATAGTTTAATGAGAATTTAAATCTGGTTTTTGGATAGGGAATCATTTGAACCCAGTGACCACGTGCCTGTCATCATACTGAACTACAAAAATAGCCTACCACCTTGCAGTTTTCTGTGAAAGGATGATTGCTGAGATCTGGTTTCTTTGACATGATCCTCTCACATAATCTCATATATGTTACCCCTGATATTCAACAAGATTTTTTTCTCAGATGGTTCCTGATCTGTCAGTTCCTAGAACCCAAATGTTTTGTTTAGGTCTCGGGCTTTTGCTTTGAAGCATATATGCTAGGTAGTATATGCTCTTTCACATTGTCTCCCCATGTTCACTACAGAAAGATTTAAAGGACTCTCCTTTCAAAGGATCTCATACCACCTAGCAAATAATATTAAGAACTCTATTAGTCACCTGTAATTGTGACTTAAAAGCACTCCCTGGATTTCAAGCAGTAATGCTCACTGAGGTTTTGAGGAATAATGCTGCTTTTTAGGGATTTCTCTGAGATTTTTTAATTTACTGGCAATAATGAGGACCTTCTTCCAAGTTTTCACTAGTGGACAATGTGAATGGACAGAGTGACTCACTGGGAGAAGACAAAAAAGCTGTTCATCTGTAACTTCACTTTTTCAAGACATGTTGATAGTATATACATTCACATTCCTCTCCCATTTTATTCTCTCTGACTTCAGCATAGCTTAGAGATTTACTTACTGGTAGAAATTGGAAATGTCAGGAACAGCATGTGCAGGAAGGGGAGAAGATAAGGAAACAAATGATTCAATCAGTTATGTAAGGGTTAAAAAGTAGTGACTCTAACAGTCACTAATAGTAGTATTGCCCTAACAGCGATAGGGCAATATGTTTTGAAAGAGAATTATCGGACTATTGTAAAAGGAAATCATAAAAGCCAAAGGCATAAAATTCAGTCAAATTAAAATAGCTTGGATTTAATTAGGTATTCAGAATACAAAATATGTCTAAGCATAAAAGACTTTCGGTAGGTCATCAGGATTTGTAACAGACTGAAGAAATGCTATGTTGACTAGAAAGCTGCTCTTGAGGAGGGAGTTTATGTTGTGAACTGTTTCTACTACAAACTAGACAAAAGGAAATGATCAGGTAGTTGCAGACACTTGCCTCTATCTGCTAAAAGATTTTTGTTTTCTTTTTGTTTTCTTTTTGTTTTGTTCCCCAAATTAAAGGTGATAATTTTCTCTTTACAAATTAGTAGGATTTCTAAGTCCCAAATCCATTTGCACTCTTTTTACCTTTCAGAATAAAAAGGTTAAGGGATGTTCTAAGTTGTGGCCCCCTCTAACAGCTCTAGGCCTGGCCTGCACAGCTGCTGAAAGTCAGCCCAGGTCCCAGGCCTTCTGACCCACCACAGGGTCCTCCTACTCACATGGCTCAGGGACACATTCACTCAACACTCACACACCCATTCCCCAGGCACTCCACAGTCAGGGGTTCTCCAAATACCAGTATAAATCTCCCATATATCTGATACCCATGCCAGGACCTGGGGCCTCCTACCCACAGGTGGTAGTACATGAAACAAATATATGCAGTAAATTCAACTTCATGACCCAGCTATCGAGTCTTTAACTTCAGTTAAATATAGCAAAATACAGTGAAAAAAACATATTAACATTTTAACAGTTTGTCTTAAAGGGGAGTAAAAATTATAAACAGGAAATGTGTCTTACCTTCTATGAGAAATAATTACAGTTAAATTCAAAGGACAAATTCATAAAAAATTACCCAATATAATTTGCTACTATAGGTTTCAGTTCTTTTTTTTATAGATGAACCATGCACCATTGATCATTTAAATATAAATATTTTGCTGTCCTATTTACAGTTTATAATATACTATTTGGAGGAAGTGAACTTAGGCATCTTTTTATTCTTAGTTTGAACTGTGCAAATAACGTAGTATGTGTGATATTTGTAGGTAATTTTTCTTCTCACCAAGTCTGAAATGTATAATCGATTGGGAAAGGTGAATTTTTCATAATCTTAACAGCTCTTATAAGAAAGAGATGTTCTGTTATAATTTTTGTTTTCTATAATTCATTTTAAAAATCTGAATGAATAGGATTTAATTTTTTTATTGTTACCTCTGTCACCTTACTGATACTGCTGTATATAGAGAAAAGTTCATCTTCAATTAAAGATCTCTGTAAGAATTATGCAACTACATTGGTAGTAAGTAAATTTTTGTCTTTTGGTTATTTTCTTTTAACTGTTATCAATTGATACAGAGTTTGGAGTTTTACCTCACAGTCACTCAAGAAGAGTCCTGTATATGGATAAAAGAGTCCTCAGTGTCACATAGGCATTATGGTTGGCGATGGTGTGCCAGTACTGTGAAATAGTTTTCTGAGGTCCTACACTTTCAGAAGTGTGACTATCTCCATTTTTGTTTTCAAAGCTAGTGAAAGGAATTTTGGAGAACAGTTTCTTCACTTGTATCTTGTGGAAGGAAAACCAACCGTTCGATTCAGCTGTGGAAACTCTCAGAACATTCTGACTGTATCCATCAACCAGTCTATTAGCAAGGGTATACTTGTCCCTATCACAGTAAGGTAAGAATTTACCATGGGGTTACACTAAAAGAGTTTTAGTCACATATATTGAGCAGTAAAGTGTGATTCCACTTTTTTTTTTTTCCACAATAAAGACAAGTCATATTGGAAAGCAAAATTATATGCACATTTGGAAACTTTTTTCATAAGATAATCTCCTTGATTGAAAATATGTTTTAGTTCACACTAAAATTTAAGATTATTTCAGTCCTTTGGAGAACTTACAAATCTTTCAATCTCCAAATACTTTTACAGATACAGATGTTGTTTTGAGAAATGAAACAATTTAAATATAACATTGGAGGTTACAGATGGGGAGTTCATAATTTATGCTTATTAATTTATACATTGAATAAATTAAATTTGTTGTCAGAATTCCAGTGCTAAATATAGGACCGATTTATTCTTTAAGATGAAAAATTAAAAATGGACATACTAACAGCATCTCACAATGCCAGGTGGACTTGGTGATTTTCAAAGTCTTTTCCAAACTACATTATGATTCTATAAGCTGTCGTATCTACATATGCAACTGTACTGTCAGCGTTATACAGTGGTGGCTGAGCAGTACTGTCATTTTACACCTAGTACACACAATAGTTCTCAGAATGGTTAATGTACCATTTTGTAAAAGGTATTAGTATCATGCCTTGGTAATGGATTAACTCTTTTCTAGCCATGGAATTTCTTATGTGCAAGATAGGTAAAAGGTAAACAAGAAATAATAAAAATGTTGTGTTATATTTTTATTAGTAATGTTAAAGACTGGTAAAGTATTCAGTCTTCAAAATCATTTTAGAAATAATTCTGACACCCATATAAAATTTCAAATTACTGTGATTAAGATAATATTTTATTTCTTACATAGTTAAAGTATCAGAGGTAATTGGTGCACCTAAACTGGAAATATTTGTGAGTTGAGAGAACTTACTGCACAAATTATTAAATTAAAGGTAGTTCTAGCTAGGACTATTTTTGCTGTTAGAGGATGGTATGTGAAGGAGACTGCAAAATTTGCCTTGAAACGTGCACATCAGACTTCTCAAAATTGCCTCACTATGAAAACAGGAAAATAAAAGCATAATCTCAAGATTTTTTGTGTTTGCATTTTCAGCTGTTTCTCTATGATGTAAATGTTGATAAATTCTAAAATGATGGAGGTTTATTGATCTCAGTATATAGAGTAGATTGACAGGGGGAAAAGAGGCTGTTTGGGGCGGGCGGTGTTCATTAGATTGTGTGCTTACCCTGTAAGCTTTACCACTTCTTTTAGAAAAAAATTTGTGTTAAAATATAAATCCTCTTTTCAATATAAGCAAGGATCTGCCATTTAAGAAACTGTTTTATTTCCATCTTATATTTCTTCTCAGCCACAGGTCTATACATTACTCTTATGCTCCATTTAGAACAGTATTTTTTTTCCTTTTATGCTGTCTTAGTGTTAATATCTAGTATTAATGAAGCAAAGTCACATAGCATACTTTCAAATTGAATTACTTATTAGATGACAATGTATTTATTTTAGGATTTTTGTACAGGTTGTAAAAGTATATAAAATTTACAAAGGAAATTCTATCCCTTCCTCTCCTTATGATCTGGCAGATATAGAGGTTTTTTCCCTGGGAAAGTACTTGATAGAGGTATACAGTTTGATACTAGTAAACTATTCTAAGGGATTTTTTAATCTCAGAGACTACTCTTGTGTGAGACATTGGTCAGGTGATTGTCTGCACTGTATCAGCTGTGGTAGCATTGCCCCTGCTTCATAAGATTAAGACATTAAAATGCTGTGCAGATTTCAAAGCCTAATAATATCTTAGCAAAAAAATGCAGATAAATGGCAATGAAAAGATTGATTCTAGTCATAGATTTGAAGTTCATACTGAAAAATAAATTTACTTCCATCTTTTTCTACCTGAAAATTAACACCTGTGTATTTATGGCTTCATTCTCCATGTTGTTACACTAAAAATAATGTCAGTTCAATTTACACATTACCTTTGTTTATTGTTATTTTATACTGCTATCTTTGAAACAGTGGCATACTAACTAACTTGTAAGGTATGATTGTAGACTATGACTGGCAGGGATTTACATGCATTTGAGTTTATGGTCTTGGCCTTCGAAACGACTAGTGATTATTCTTGCAAGTTCTTCTAAAATTTAAAGAAAGCAGTATATCCTTCACCAAGCCGCAATAAAATTATGATCCTTCAGCAAGCAACCCTAACCTCTGCCAAAGGAAAAAGCAAACTTAAAAAGGCATTTGTGGCCCTCCAAGATCTTGTACTGTAGGCAATAAAATATGAATCCATGACAAAACCATTGATTTCTGTGTTCTCAGTGGCTGTTGGAGATAGATAATTCTATTTGTATATTTTACCTGAAAAATTAATGAGTGGAATTTTTTCCCTGTAATGCAGAAAAAGAGACAAAAACTAGAATAAATATCTATTTTTTGTTACTGTTTGAAAACTTGCCAGTTGGCAGACAATAGTTCTGGTACACTTGACTAAGTCTTTAGAATCATATTTGACAGTTATTCCAGTTCTGGATGCAACTATAACTCCACTGTTTAAATGCCACAATTAACACATTCAATAGCGTCCATAGAAGTAGATTGTCACCTTTTCAGACTTTTTTCCTTCTAAATCCACTATGTGCAATAAACTAATACATTCCCATAGTTTACAGCTAGCTATTCCTTTTTCATAACGATATGATTGGTTTCCTTATGTATGGCCATTTTTTTCAAACCTGATGAAGATTAAATGAGTTATAAATGTTCAGTCATTGTCTTTATGGTCCTTGTGAAATGACAGCTTTACAGAAAAAAGTCAGTAAAACTCAAATTGCCTACTTTTTTTTGCCTTGCCTAAGGAAACTAGAAATGTATTTAAATGCAGTTTCATTCATTGTTTTCATTTCCATTTATTTTAGAATGATTTGATCACTGGTTTGAAAATGTGTATTTCTTCCAGTTTAATTTTCTGTGATTTCATAGTTGAGATTGTATTGATCTTTTCAGTTAAAGCTTTGAGAACATGCTTGAATTGTAGTTTGGATTAGTTTTATGGGTTTGTTCTTGAAAGCTATTCAAAGAACATTAGCTCGAATGCGTTTCATTCCATGTCTGGGTTCTGAACTGCATTTGGCTGATGCAAAATTTGCTCTACTTTGTGGTTAAAGTGATGTGACTGTCATGGGAGTAGATGATGTTTCTTCAATTCAGTGACTGACGGTAAGTAAATTTAACAAGCAAAATTGAGATAATAAGTCACAAGGATTTTGATTTTTCTTGATAGTGGGGTGAATTTTAGCTTTTAGAGTAGGAATATTGATATTTTATAGACATCTTACACTTTTCTTCTCTAAATGATATATTTTTTAATTATATTTCCTTAAGAAGTTTAGATTGTCTTTTCTACACAGTAATGGAAAACACCGGATCCTTTTGGGATCTCTCCTTTTGGGAGATTCTAGGCAAGCATTAATTAAAATCTTGCCTGTCTATGATAGCATCACTCTTTTCCATCTTATTTACCTGCAGAATTTTCAGAATTGTTCTCTGGAATTTAATGAATAAAGCGTCCATCCCCACAGAGCTAGATCATAGTATTATGTACATTAACATTTCATGTGTCTTCCAAGTGAGCATATTGAATGTAGTTGTTTCCAGTTTTCTGTCACACTTTAACTAGTAGAATAGATGTGAGTATTTACCAATGGCTGAGAAGGGCACCTTTAGCTGTCTTTAAAGAGTTTATTTGTTAAATACATTATTTAGTTAATGTTGTTTGGCCAGCTCTCGCCTAGACCGTGCAGCGGTACAGAAGCTGCTGAAGTTTATTATTTGGTCTTCCACCTTCAAAAGCAGATGGCACATTGTGAACTGTGAAAGTCCTCAACATGTTTTTGTCCCTCCACACGGAAACTTTGGCAAGATGTAATGTACTAATTGCAAACTACATGATTTGTAATGTACTAATTGCAAACTACATATTACCAGTGTTCATGATTTTACCTCCACTCCTACTTCCTCCTTTTCCACAGAAGAGGAAAACAGCTGTTTGAACTATTCTACAAAGTTTTTTAACACATGTGCATTCTTAAAATGTTTTTTAAATGAATGTGTAAATCACCATCTATACAATCTGTTGGTTTATTTTGAATCATGATGTTTACCTATTTCATTTTGTTATTCTAGAGATATGTAAGTTTTCATATTAGTGTATACTTTGAAGTCATCTTTTTACTAGTGTTACAGGTGCTGGGTGCTCTGCATAGTCTGCAAGTATTACTGAAGATTGCATTAAATCAGTAAACCAAAAAAATTACTAATTTTCTGATGTCTTGCTATTGTTTCCAATATTACCAGTTACCTAGGAATACAGGGATTTTTTTTATGATTTGGAAACATCTGAGCACCAGGTTTTGTATCTAAGCAGGTACATTGTGTATCCTAGGCTTCATACTTGCAATACTGACTTCCAACATAACCAGTTATGTGATGAATGATAAATGGAAAGGTGTTTTGGCAGATAACTTGAGCCATTTGGTACAACGTCACCAACACATATCACATCTCAACTTTTTTAAAATTGTTTGAAGATTAACAGTGAAAGCAATCTCAGAGACATTGAAGAATTGCTGTTCTATAATATGAATATATAAATTGTTAAAGAAAACACATTTAGATGCGGTTTTAAAAATAAATATTTTATGTACTCTATACTTAATTTTTAAGTCAGCATATACATGAATCATACCCATGTAGATGTTGTGTTGTATAGAACTGGAAATACTGTAAGACATTAAGTATATTTAATAAATTTTGAATGAAAGTTGTAATTACTTTTAGAAGGACTGTATATACAACTATACACATTTATGTTTACTGCCTTTTCTATAGAAACTGAAAATTTTGTAAAATTATCATCACATTTGCCACTATAAGGTAGGACATTTTTTGCAGTGTATGCCTACATAATGTTTGTTCT